CCCATCGCTCTGAGTGACCTCAGTGTAACTCTGAAGACACTTGGATCTGCCTAGGTGCAAATCATGACATCGGGACTTCTAAGGTTGTTGGAAAAAAACGCCATCGAGAATTAGACGTGCTCACAATCCGTGCCATTGAGCACAGTTAATGACAAAAAGTGTTGGAAAACATGAAATGCTTTCAGTGCTTAAGTCAATCTTCAATGAGGGAAGTTATCACAGGGGATAAATTATCCCACTCCTTCAGTTTCTTGTAGTCACCTCCGAATAATCTGGCACTGACTGAAGGAGGAGACCACAGAATATTAAACGTAATGAACTACATAACTACTGATCCATCACTCTAGCGTTTGTGTACTTGCCTGGTAGGGAATTTGGTCCTTGGAAGGAGGTCTCATTTCTGGTAGTTACAAGATGGTGTTTTATAATTAAAGCGCAAACCTTCAGCGTGGTAATACTGCAATTTGTGGGCTCTGATACGGTGCTGAAGGAAATTCGGTGAGTTCTGTAGCTGCTGTGATGAAAGAGTAACCTGGTTTTCACAGTGTCACAGTAGATACTATTTGACATAACGAAGAAGGCAGTGATCAAAGCAACAGCTCTCTATTCTTTGCAATGCAAGTTTCCCTTTATTAAGGAGGAATAATTCTATTTATTATTGTTGTAGGGATCTTTTAACAGGAAGAAGTATTACGACTGGTCAAATTTCAACAGTCTGTATTTACGTGTCCGCGGTGATGGCAGACCTTGGATGGTAAACATCTATACCGACCCTTACTTCTCTCATCAAAAGGATGATCTCTACAACTACTTCATGTTCACCCGAGGAGGCCCCTACTGGGAGGAAATAAAGGTGAGCTAATGAGTCCGTCAAACTCACGAGACTGCCTTGGGGTCCTGGCCCTAGCTCTGCAGAAGGAGAATTCTCTCAACAGCAGCAGTTTGGCTTGGGAGTTCCCCAAATTGTAAATGACTGGTTTGTGGGAGGGCACGCTGTGTCAGTTGTATTAAAGATTCAATATTATCGAATATGTTCGCCTAAACGCCTGCTGTTAGCTGTTACTGGAGTCGTGGAATAGACACAGCAAGCACAGGTTGGCCAGTGTTGCCAGGAGGATTTTCTGCGATAACCATGTTATCTGCAGTACCCGTGGGTGAGGGCTCGTGTGGGATTTGTACCATCAACGGGATTTGCTTACCCTGCTGACTCACCAGAGTAGGTCGGAGACTCCCGAGATGTAGTTTGTCATTCACGGCCTTTGTGACAGAAAACATTTTGTAAGAAGTGGGAGCTGCGGCTCTTTTCTGATGAAGCTTGGGGAACTTGTGTAATTTGCTGATGGTGGCGCCGATAAGGAAGTTTGCACATCCTTGCAAACTGGCATTGAGTGCTTCATCACATCACCCAGCTGTTTGAGAGCAGCCAGTTTCACAAACGAGGAGTCCGGAGGCTGAAAAGTGGTGTGGTTGCCAGCCTGTACATCCCCCTGTCACCTCCATCAGCCAACCCTCCTCACTCCTATGTCTTGTCATAGTCCATCCCCTTTCTCCCACTGCATTCAAAGTAGTTTTTACCCTGTTGTGAACTGCTTTGCTAGGGTACTGATGTCTCAGGGTGAAGTTTGCAAGCTTTTTTTCTTAATTCCTTAAGTTTTTATTTTCTGTACTGGTGACACTAAAATCTGGTTTGCTTTGATTTTGTTTCTGTCAGATTCCGTTCTCCAAATTCTTTCTCTCAAGTCGGGGAAGAGTCCAGGATAGCCAGCATCCTATCTGGTTAGACAAGGCAAGTTTTCTGTAGGGTTTATCTTTCTGAAATTTCCTTCAAGATTATATTGTTGCAATATAGATAATTTACAAATCCTGTAATGTTTGTGAATTTGAGATTGAAGGGCCTCTTCTTGTTACCAGGTACTTACTCTTGTGTGCTTGCTTCTGCATTTAAATTATCCTCCTTTGTGATGGCAGTGTCAATTTACTTCAAAGGAGTGCCAAAAATACTTTTAAGAGATCTATACAACCCGGAAACAACTCACAACTTACTTTAACAAAAAAGAAACCAAAGCAACAAACAACTTTTTTTTTTTAAGGAATGATCACAGTGATTAAGAAACCTCGAATGCCAGTTGGCACAGTACTGCCAAAAATAATAAAGCATCATAAACTTCCTTCCTGACAGAACACTGTCCAGGGATATGTCATGAGATTTTATTTGTGGATGTGTTGTATCTGTGACTTTGGTGAGCAGTAAACTGATATACTTGTAGCCTCTTTTTTCTCAGGATTTCTAATCTAGAGTATTAAGTAAATGTTTTGGGTATTTTTTATTTCTGCAAATAGGTAGATCTCATTGATTCGCAGGAAGAGACATGTTAGAATAAGTTGTTTTTTGTTTTTTTTTAAAATTTCAGTGATCCTCCTGTATGTAACTGAGGGTGGGTTAATACCCAGTGACTACCAAAAGGAAAATAATGTTAGAAATATGTATGGGGAGAAAAGCTCATTACTTTTTTTAAAAGAGCTAAACACAGTAGTAGAAAGGCAAATGTGAAGTAGTTTCCCACTGGGCTCTGCACAGAAAGTGTGGTGGTGAAGTGTTCAAGCCTTAAGAAATGCAGCTGCGTTTTGAACAAATATCAGTTTAAAGTGGGTGGCCACAAATTGTTTGTAAAATATTGGGAGTGTTAGATACAACTGTGTGTGATTATAACGTTATAAATACTGCTCTAACGTATCTTTCAATTAGGTTAGCACCCTCGGATTCACGATCGGAGATAAAGTCGATGGTCCGTTCCAGCTGGAAATTGATTTTATTGGCCTGCTAAACGATAGAGCTCATACAGAAGAATTTGCCTATGAAATGTATGAAAAGAACCCTCAAAGCTAAGTTGAGCTGGTGTCCTTTGGTGTGTTCTTCAGATGCTTGGTTCGTTTTTATAAAACTTCTCAACGTGTGGCTTAGAACAGCTTCAAGACTCTGCGTAACCATTGCAGAGATAAGTGCATGAAGGGTTGAAGAGTACAATCTGACTTGAGTGACACCGTTGGCGCCTTCGAGCTGCCAAACACGGAATCCTGAGAGACTGTACATACATGGACCGGAACATAACCTGAGGCATTGTGATGAATTTTTACAAACTAGAAACTGTTGATTGGGTAAGTTTTGGCTTCTGCCCTAACCTTTACAGAAATAAAGTATCCTGTGAGCTTGTTGTTTGTTGGAGGTTTTTTGTACAATTTAATTTTCTGCACTATAGGGTTTGTAAAGTTGTAAAACATACCTGCTAATTCTCATCATACTTCCAGTTTAAAACTAATATCCTGAAAAACGGTGCTTAAGCATGACTCAGCTGCTGAAATTCACAGAGAGCAGCACCAGAAGCATTTCAACCTTTAGCTTTGGCTCCTCTGAACAACTGAAAAAAGAAAAAGCTGCCACTGCCAGGATTGAAACAGTAGCTACGAGGTGGGCTTGGCTTTTAGGTCAGACCTGTTGATGATAGTCCTGCAGCTTTACAGAGTGAGGAGTTGTTGATCAAAAATGATGCTCCGAGGGCAGGCTGGGGGGAAGCACCATCGCTGTCTGCTCTCTGGGGGCACGGAGCTCAGCTCACGCAGCACCGTTACCGGGCAGATCTGATCACGCTTCTGCTGAGTGCAATTCCCTCAGCTCTGGTGCACTGTAAGAACTCACAGCCCCAGCTGGTATGGGTGAGGCTCAACACTTCCCATTTTCTGAGAAGTTTGGTAATCTGAGAAACACTTTAAAGAACCAGTGCTGAATGGTTTTGTTTCAGCTGTCACAAACTTAGCCTAATCGAAGCACAGGCCTCTGTGGTGACCTTGTTTGAGTGCACTTTACAAATATTAAATGTACCACAATAAAGCAAGCTGAAGCAGCGTCTTGTATGATCTTTTTTCCTTTTGCACAGAATTAAATAGCTTAAGAACAAAAGAGGGGTGATTTATAATTTCTAAAGATCCTGGAACAAACACGCTTTCATAAAATGGTAGGCAGGCTAATCGGTAAGGAAAACATCACAAAAAATGACACTGAGTAGTGAATACAAGTGTGAAGAAAACTAAGGAGGAAGCTGTATGAAGTACACTAAATGATATAACCAGTGATAAACAGCATGTGTACAAAATATTTATTTCCCCCCATTAAGTTTTTATACAAAAAAAATTGCTTGTTCTTGACATTTCAGCATATAGTCAATAGGACACGAAATTCACCAAAACAAGTATTTGCTCAAAATTCTAACTGAGATTACAACTGCTAAATTACCTTTCCAGTTCCATCCTTAATAAATCCAGACAGCTTTCTATGCATTTTTTTTAAAAATAACAATAACAGCTTTTAAATCTAAGGCACTGAATGTGCCTCAACACTACTGTAACCTCTTTTAAGCATCTATTATCTACCCTAGAAAGGAACAAAACAGCTTTAACTGGTCAAAGCATTCAGTTAGTAATTTGTAAAGCCATTTTCACTTGCTTTTTTAAAATACTGTATTTTACAGTTAAGTTTATGCTGTAAGCTTTTAGTTTTCCAGAGAGCTCGCATGTTTTTCTTCTCTTGGAAATTCCCTACTACTTCACAGGCATGCAGTAAGAAATGCTGAATAATTGCTGTAACTGTTGTTACAGAATTTAAGGACTGATCTGGAGAACAGGGCAAGCAATCTCCAAATCTTGAGCATCTTTTTTTTCCATTTACATTTTTTTTCCTCTGACACCTTTTGCTTAAATGAGTTAGTTAAATGAAAGTCTTGTTAAGCAACTAGAGATAGTCCTAAGCTCCTAAAAGTTCAGAACTCTCATCTCGTCAGAGAAGTCAATAACTAAAACATTATGCTCAGATGCATTGTAAGGTCTCATTCAATGCTCTCTGACATCCACAGACTAACAGCAACGTGAACCATACACACAGACAGCACAAATATTTACATGACAGGAACAGTATTTACAGAGACTTCTTAAGAGATTTCTTATTCCTCCTAACCCACAGACAATCCTCTACGGTTTCCAAGATTCTGGGCCTTTTTCTTTTTTCTCTCTTGCTCATGTTTCTCACGTCTTTCTTCCCTGAAGGGGAAAGAAAGGAAAAAAAAAAGAGAGAGCATATCAAGTTATTTTAAAGCTAGAGACACAAGCAGCCAAAGGAACATGAAGCTGACCAAGGCATAACATTTCTTGAACTGGCTGCATCTGCCACAGGCAGAGAGAACAGTACCATCGTGAGCTGAACCCAGCCATTCAGAAAAATACCTGCTTACACGTACAGGTCTGACATTCACGGTAACAACATGTCCCTACTCACAGCTCTTCCAAGGGGAAGGTAAATCTCCAACTGCTAAAACTGATGGCTTTCACAGAATAAAAGTCTGTCAGATTCAGAGCTGCCTTCCCAATACTAGACAGGCTACTGGAAGCAAAAATTGCTTTGATATAGAAGTATTCTCTGCCTGTTGTAGTGCTAGGGCCTGAATCATAGGCCCTGAACTGGAGTTGACCTATAGATGAACCTCACAACCCCACGCTATATAGTATTAATCACATATGCAATGTATTGATAATCTATTTTAGCATATATATATTCCAATGCCAATCTGTAAAAGCTTTGCTGTAAGGCTAGATGTGCGGTGAGAACCAGCAGGGTGATCTTTCTTTAGCTAAAGGCCAGGTGCAAGGCTGGGAAACTGGCTGCCTCTGGCTTTGGTAGAAGTATGTTACAAGATCATGAGACCAGAGGCCTGTCTTTGGTGAGAAATAGATAAGGAGACTCCTTTGTATTCTTCCTTTAGCCCTGGCCAAGCTGTGGGAGGAATCCAATGGAGCGAACAACACCAGATGTTCCTGCATTCAAAGTTATGCAAGGTTGTTTATTTAATAGTATAAAAGCTGGACCCTCTTGTAGCAACTTCAGAGACCTGACCTACGAGTGGACACACTGCGTAGGACTTCCCAATTGCTGGGACGGTTCTCCAGAATCTTCGCTGCAACAGGGGCTCCCAGCGACCGCAGATCTGGATGATGATATTAGGGCGACTGGTGATGGATCCTTCTTACTAACTATCGCTAACTGCATAAAGTACTGATTAGGTGCAGCACCCTGCTTGTTCTCCTTGCTGCTTAAAACTAGAGTATAATAAGCTTGCATTGCCTTATTCATGTAATACTTTGAAATAGACAGTAAAATAAGCTCATCCTTACACCCCCCCCCCCCCCGCCCCCGTTACCCCCCCCCCCCCCCCGGGCCAATTAGCATAACAACTGCATATTTAAATCCTAAAAAGACAAACAACTCACTATATTATTTTAAATAACACTGTTTGTAAAAGCCTAGTGGTATACTAACCTCGTCTGGAGATGTGGCTGTTTGTAATCTTTTCTATGCAAAGAAATGTTGCTACTGACAGACTTATTTGGGACAGTATTTTCTTTATATTCTCCCCATGGTTTCAGTCGTCCTGCAATTTAGGGACAAAAAGTGAGACTACTGAATTACTAGTCTAGTAACTGTGTGCTTAACTTCTTCAGTTGTATTATCAGTTTCACCAGTCCATTCCCCTACAAGTATTTTTTTCTTGTAAGTAGTAGACTGTATTTATAAGTAACATTCACCACACAAAGTTCAGCTTGTCATACAATAACGTATTTTAGAAAATAAATAAATAAACTCAAGCCTCGTTGTGTAAGGAGTATCTCATATTTCCTGTGCATACATCTATTCACTTGAATAGAAGGATGTTTATTCTTACATTTATGCCTTTTGGTCATAAAGACCAGTAGGGATGCTTTTAAGCATATATTATGCCGAAAGTTAACATCAGGCCACTGACTGTGCAAGAATTCAGAAAGGGGCAGGAAAAAAAGAGACCAAAAATCTTTGCTGTTGTGGTTTGTATCAATACTTTACATTATTATTAGCTGAGCATAAGGGGTGTGACCAACAGAAAGCGCAGGCTCACAGTACCTTTGTGCGGCTGATACCGAAGCGGCCTTGACAGACTTGCTTTGAGATCAAACGTCTTCTTTGTGCTCGCAGGTTCTGCAGAGTGAGCTGCAAACTTGAAGGGGGTGATAACTACAAAAAGCACCAAGACATCGTACTTAATTATAGCAGCAAGGACATCAGTGTACAAAGTGAGTTGGAAAGTGCCTGGGAAAACTACCTCACAACTATCAAGAATAGTCATTAAATGCCACCACCTGCCACCTCTAAGGACAGAATTGCAAAAAGTACAGCTCACTTGGGAGCTTCCAGGTCTGGAGAGAGCAAGAGTTGTAGAGGATTAGCCCTTTTGCTTTGATTATGCTGTGTAATAGCATGTACACCTCCATGTATTTTTCTAGTCCTTCAGAGCAAATTGTGTGTCCCAGGCTCTACACTTATTTGGAACCAAGTGGATTTTCACATTACAAAAAGCCTGTCTAGATCAGCTGTGGAACTGTTCTTTGCTCCTAAAAACCAGCAATATTGTCATACAGCAACACGGGCAGTGTTGGTAGCAAGGGCCCGGCGGCCGGAAGATATCGCGTTGTACGGATAGACAAGGAATCCCCTCCCTATAGCTTCTAACGTAAGCAGACGGAAGTTACGTTGTAAATCAAGGCTATATAACACTGTGTTGCATACTAATAAACGCCATTTTGCCATCCACCACATTGGTGTCAGTGTGCTGATGGCCCGAGTGACCCGGAGTCGGTCGCCGTATCGTTCCTTGAACCAGGTCGTTACGCCTCGATAGGCAACAGGGCAGCTCTGGGTTCCCGAGCTGTGCTAAGGTACCCGTGATGCTAGGGAACTGATGGTGAGATAGAGGAGCTGTGCTGATGCAGAGATCATTACGAATCAGAATTCTGCTTTTTCTTAGAGTTTTAGGTCTTCAGTAAATCAGGGTTGCTGAGGTTCATAACAGGTTGTCCTAAAACACGGCTAGAAGCCTGATGCCAATCCTGCCAGGAGAATGAGACCTCTGAAAGCAGCAGGAACTCATCTTGCCACACACAGGATCCCTCTGGACCTGGTGTGTGAATATTTGCTATGTAATCCCCAAAGCTCTACCAGATTTCCCATCCCCTTTTAGCCTTTATGGCTAAATACCATAAGTTTAAGTCTTAGCACCTAACCATTTCACTCACAACACTGTTAATCAAAGGAAATGAAGAAACTACTGCAGTTTCTAAAGAATCAGTCATAAATTAGAGGATTAAATTAAAACCTGAGTCTACATTAGAAGTCTGGATATTAAAGAGCTAAATATTTACGATCTACTTTACCCTTTGGTGCAGTCAGATCATTATTTCCTGCATTTCCCTTGCTGCTTTTCCGACTTATAAATTTGCAGCTCTTTTGGCTCTCCGGTGTGGAGATTGCCAGGTACGGGGACATTCTAGATGGAGTCTTGGTGAGAGAGCGTTTATGCTCATTGTCTTTTGTGGCTTCTGAGAACCTGAAAATTATTAGAAATATTGGAAATAAGACAAAGTCATCTGCAAGGAAAGTAAGCAACGTGACAGAATATAGAAGGTTCTGCGTTCTGCTTTTCTTATGGGTATTAAGTAGAAGATGTTTGCAGCTTATGCATAAGCTGCACAAAGAATACCTTTGCTGGCAATTTTCAAGTTAGGAGTCCCGATCAATAGCAGTAAGTAGTAGTAGGAACTACAAGGAGCTGCCTTCTTATTATTTTTTAGAGAGCAAATATATTTGGCTGCAACAAGCTAGCAGATTTCTTCATCAGCAGATATGATTTACTTTAATTTTGATTCTACAGCAAAACAGTGTATAAGTATTGTTAATTTTAAAATTCAAATTAAAAAAAATAAATTACTACTAGAACTCTAGAACTCAAAGGTCTACAAGAGGAAGTAGATGGAAATTTCAGTCAACACGTTACCTGCATACCAAGACGTGCACGTGCTGTATATGCGTGCATTTACACATATTTTTAGTGTATATGCACATATATATATAGTTATATATGTGTCTACATGTAAACACATGCAAGAATATCCAAATTCTTGCATGAAATAATACCCTTATCAAAGAGGTGCTTAGAATAAGCTGGAAGCCTCCAAGATACTGGAAAGACAGTGAATAAATGTTGAGGAGAGCAATGTTTTGAGGGCTAGAAAGTTTACGGATGAACTTCAGCTTGCAAGATCCACCTCAGCACGTGTTTGGACAAATGAAGGGAAATTCTAAAAGTGTCACTTTACGTATTGCTATGAGGCAAGCAGGGCTGCAGTGAAGACAAAGATCATCCAACAGGATAGCAGAGGCAGAATGAATATCATTTTCATCTGCTGTTATCTATTGAAATCGAAGATAACTCATTTAAAGTGGAAATTAGCAGAAAGCCAGTAAAATGACGAGCTTGATTTTACAAGAACCATGTAATCTTGATCTCTTGGTAGTAAAAAAAGTGCATCCAAAAGTCCCATAGTAGAAGATACCAATATTAGAAGTCACACTAACCTAATAACAGCAGCAATCTCACACTTTATTTAGGGACAAAAAAAATCTCCTGACAGCTATAAATTTGCCATGCAGAAGCTTCGAAGTGAAAGTTATCAGAAAAATGGGATGTAACACAACTGAGACTTGAGATTAACCAGGTATTGTTAGCAGCCGTAGAAGGTCATAGAATGTCTAAATCTTAACTTCAGTCTCTGCAGAAGTTTAGTGAAGCCAAAAAAAAAAGTTTACTAGTACAGTAGTTAGAAACCAGCAAAGAAATAGTAAAGACCAGGACTTTCATTAAATAGAAAACTGAGTGAATGGGCTTGTGTCAATGGAGTACTGTATGGACTGTCCTTTCAATCCCTTCTCTTAAAAAGTTTTGTGTTCAAGACTTTAGAAAAGTTAGTAATAAGCTATAAAATTTACCAATAATGAAAGCTCACAGAATATTAACACAGCAGAATTAGGTTACTGTGTCAGAATGACATGTGCATGATGGTTTTAAAGGAAACGAGATGAGATTCTTCATTCCTTTCGCTATTCTTCATGACTTTCCTATGGCAACTTGTTTCCCATCTGCTGGAAACAATCTGTTTCTAGTGGTGAATCGCAAGACGCGCCCATGCTGCGATGTCAGAGGGAAGGAGTGTGTGGAAAAAAGGAAAAGAGAGTACACAAAGTAAACCCAGATAATGAATCCACTGCCAGACTCACTTGGAATACCACATACAGTTCTGGTTAAGTAATCTCCAAGGTAAATTAATTCAGATATAACCGAGACTACTAGGTTGCCTGACAATATGAAAAACTAACACAGTAAGGAGCAGAATAATTTGCCTTGGTTGGTTTAGCAAAATAAAAGCTGAAAGAGATTCAAGATTACTGTCAGACATCAAAATGAAGAATCAACAGCACCATAAGGCTTAAACTAGCCATAAAGCCGGGCTGAAATTTAGAAGTCAGAATTAGTCTCATGTAGTTCACATTTGGAGTAGAAATAATGTAGTTAAATCACAGTCAGTGCAGATCATTTGATGTGCATCACACCAAATTACTCACTGATAGTTTTGGTTTGTTCTTTTTACCTGACATTCATTTTGGTTGTTGAAAGGACAGGATTAAATGAAGATTTCCTAGATAAAATGCTCCGACTGGCAGCGTTCAGAGAACTGCGAGGTGAGCGCCGGAGGTTACTGGGAGTGCAGGTGGCGGAGAATCTACCTCTTTCTGGATTGGGGCTGAATAAAAATGTTTTGCCATTGGTTTGTTTCTAGGGAAAAACAAATAACAGAGTTAGCAAACTTGCTAAAAATTAATCAGAAAAGCAGTGAAGAGGTAGGGAAAATACACAGTTAATCAGAAAAGCACACAGCCTCTTCAGTTTTTTCCTTTTTTCTTTAAAAGCATATTTTAAACATAAGTAGTTTTATTACTGTTAAACTGATCTGAAAACATATACCTTAGAACTACGTGGAGTGCCTTTTCCTGATGTTCCTAAGTGATTCGATTTTTTGGCCAGCACCTGCCAAAAGGGATTTCTCTTAAGTATCCGTTGAGTACTATGCACGCCATAGAAAAGAGAAACGTAGCGTTCAGGAGCTTCAGTGTTACTGGATCGATACGTCCATTGACATATTCATTCATAAATTTATTGATACATCACTGTCACCCTTCTAAGGTCTGCCACACTCTGGAAGAGGCCCCTTTAACAGCCTTCACCAATGCAAGCGTGAAATACAAGAACTGAGAAGTGAGGCCACTGAGAACAACATATATTGCACATATTTTAAAGGAGAGCCATGTGCAGTCATCAGACAACGGTTCTTTAAGGCACAAAAGAGGAACTTCATATTTAATTCTCGCTCTTTGAAAAAGAACCCATCCCCTTGGTTAAATTCTGCAGCAATTCAAACAGCTGTAAACAGAACTCTGCAAAATGCTTCACAAAAGTAATTATAACAATTATTTTTACTCAAAACCAACATTATTTGTCTCCATACACTGTTAATATATAAAAGCTTATAGAGGTGCACATGTTGTTTAACAATAACTACATATAACTAGTTACGCAGGACAGCAGTTAAACTTCACTGATCATAACCTCCAGCTGCAGGTACACACGACCAGGTACCAACCACTCTAAAGAGTCTCTACAGAGCTCTTACAGAGAGGCTCTGGAAATAGATGAATAAGAGAACAATTGATTTCTTCCTTGTGTTATCATTTACCTTGACTTCACCAAGAGAAGCTTCGATCCTTTTTTTTTTCCTCTCAGTGTAGTCAGCAATAGATTCCATTTTCCTGAATTGAGCCTCGTGCAACTTCTTAAAGTCTAAGAAGTTCCAAAAATAAGAAGACATACACACATCTGATAAGCTCCTAAGGAAGTTTATGACTTAGCAGGAGAATCTTGCAACACCTATTGCTATGGCCTCGGAGAAAACATAATGTATTCCACTAAAGACTGAGTATTCACACAGGTAACCACACAGTATGAAACAGAATCTACTTCATCAGCTACAGAGCCAGTTACCTGGTACATGCCCTGGAGAACTCCAGAATCACAGAATGGTTTGGGTTGGAAGGGACCTTTAAAGATCACCTAGTCCAAGCCCTAAATTCTGCAGTTAAAAGGGAAAAAAGGAATACTTCTGAATTTTAGACAAATTATTTTACAAAGCGATGAAATTTTGCTGTATTACTATGTAATAGCTCAACAGTAGCATTTCACAAGTGAAAGCTAAAAAAAGTGGGAATGATAGCACATCTTCCTGCTCACTGTTGTTTTGGAAATCCTGGAAGTGAGTGTTGTATCCAAAAGATGTCAAAGCACACAATAAACCAATTTCACAACATACATGTGAATCATTTACTACAAATCTACAAACTGGAAGAGATACCTGACAGTGTAGCCTTTGGGAACTTTTTTTTGTTTACTTGCTTCATAAAGAGAAGATGTTCTTTTCTCCATGCAGAAATGGAAAGTCGGGTTGTAAAAAACTAAGTCACAACACATCTATTCCTAAAGATGGGAGGTTTTCTTACTTGGTGTAGTAGCTTTCATTGCCTTTTTCCCAGACCTAGATGCACGGCCTGCATATAAAGGGATCTTTCCTCCTGCACGATGAGCATCACCTGATACAGTAAGAGTAGACAAAATGGTTAGAAGTCCTGGAAAATATTTTAATGCCACTGCAACCTTTTTAGAAGTATTTGCTCAAAAACCACAACTTATCTCCTCAAAGCAGGTCTAGGTTTTGAGAAAGAAAAACATCAGGTGGAATAGCTACAGCTCAACAGCCTTTTAAATGTCAGTAACAGCATGTCTTGACAAACTGCAAGCCCAGCATGAATCTTACAGTCATACCAGGTTATTATCTTTTGATAGTAAAGCATTTTGTAGGGGAAGTTAGCAAGAAAAATAAGTTTGTGGTAAGCAAAACCAACTGTAAATTCACAGGTCTGTCTAGTAAGCCAGCGGTTCTTAAATGTTGGCAACAAGGAAGAAATACCTCTTGGCCAGCTTTTGTGCCACTGCTTTATATACATGGAGAGAGTCTAAGTTCATTTTATCGTCTCTGCTCACGTTCACATTTTAGCGATTAATTTTATTTTCATAAAAAAAATAAATCAGCTACAGACTTCTATTGCTTCTGGTTTTTAAAAGAATCTTCACTGAAAATCTTCATTTTCAAAACTAGTTTAGAAATTACAGATGGCCTCCAAGAACATCCTTGGAAATCCTTCTGAACAGTGAAAATATCCATAATACAACTCAAGGACACTTAGTCTAACAGGAGCAAATAATGGTATGTATCTTACTTGACAGACCCACAACATCAATAAAGTGTCAGATTAGGCAGAAAAACTCATTTTTTCACATCAGCTGCATGCACAAAGGAATGAATTCATATTTTCAATGGTATCACGTCTGAAGGTCTAAAAAAGCCACCAGATAAACTGCAATATGTTCAGATACTGTTAGGCACCTTAAGCAAATTATAAAGGATTCAGCCTGTATGTTCATGTCTACTGATTTTACTCCTGGGAAGAAAATGACAAAACCTGTTCATCTGTAGGAAAAGAAACATGAAGAAGAAAGTTCTCCCTTTCTTGCCACTTTTTAAAGGAGCTGAGTAACATCTCAGGGGTGTTCGAAAAGCCACTGATCCTAAATGAGGCACGCATCTCAACTATGCTCAGACCTCCGAGACCTCCTTGACTAAAAAAATCAGGTCCAGAGTTCCAAAGTCTAAGCCAGCAGAATTCCTACATAGTGGAATTTGTGAATTCAAGCTACAATAAGTTAAACAAACAAGTGCACAAACTCAGGTGAGACAGAATTTTTCCGGCATCCTGAAATAAAGGTACCAACCACCAGTCTTTGCAGACACAGTAAAATAACCAAAAGGTGCACCTTAAGTACTACAAATTACTAAACTTACTTTTTTGGAATATTCTACTTACCTTCATCTCCACTACTTTTAGTGGAAGTCTGCTCTGGTTGTTCTTTCTGACCAGTACCCACCCCTGGATTCTTGACAGCTCTCTTTTTAGTTACTGATTCCTCATCTTGGAATACTTTCCGCTCCTTTTCATGCTTGCCCTGAGGCACTTCGTTTTCTTTCATTTCAGAATGCTCCTGCAGTTTAAACATATTTCAACTGTGAGTTCTGACTGGATATAAAGGAAGGAAGCTGTTCTGAGTACAGTCAGTCGGGGGAACAGGTTGCCCAGCGAGGTTGTGTACCCTCCATCCTTAGAGGTTTTCAGTATCAGATTAAAAAAAGCTTTAAGCTTTGCAGTCTAAGCTCATATTGACCCTACTTTGATTGGGAAACTGTGCAAGGCACTCTTGGGACACTGATTCGGACACTGTGCTAGCCCAACATGAATTATCCTGAGGAATACTGTTATTTCACAGACAGATCTATATTAGAAAGCTTCTACCTGCACAGCTCTATACATTTTAGTATAAAATTGCCTTTATTGACAGAAGGTAACTGTTTGCAAGCAAAAATAAATTCACTGGCTACATTACTTTTTACTATTGTAGCTTTGGCTACTGTTCAGTTCTCTATCAAACACTAACACTCCCCATTTTCTCATCTCCCTCCTCCAACTCTAAATTAGTAAAAGCTTTTCACACAGTTCTTAGTTGACCCATTACTTTCATGGAACTCTAGAGAAAAAAATTCTACCTCCATCTCACCTTGAAATTCTCCTCCCCCCACTCATACAACCCATAAGAATCCACTGAAAGCAGTGAAAATTAAGAAGTTGTGACATTCAGAAAATCATCCAACTCCTGTTATTTTTTTCTATATAATAAAGTGAAAACAGCCATGTTTTCAATAAATTCTGAAACCAGTCTGATAGTCAAAATACTATGACGAACTAGTAAAAGCACTCTTACATTCAGATAGTGTTTGGAATTGTCTGTTTCTTGGAAGAATTTAACATTTCCTTGAAGCAATGACTAAGGAGTAAACTTCATTATGGACTAGCACACAGTCAAGACAGACAAAATGAGCGCAACAAAGTACAGAAGATCAGTACCAGGATGTTTACAATCCTTATATACACACACGTGTATTTACATAAAAAAACTTAAATGACCTGCTAAATGGTGGTAAAAAATAATCAAGTTGTGTTTAAATTGTGCTTGTGGGAAGGTGGGAGCAGCCAGCACACAAAGCCAAGCACTGCAAATCACCTCTTTCTCATCAGAAAATCCTGTATTTTCTACACTTTTCTTAGATTCTTCAGAGTTCCTCCTCTTCCTGGTTTTTTTCCTTTCTCTACCACGTGTTTTTGTAATAAAGCACACTGAATCAGCCATAATTTCCTCCTGATTGCTCGGTTCATCCAATTCGATGGAAGCAGATGCACTTTTTTCAGTGTCCTGTAGCAGAAAAATACTATAATGTGTATCTGACACAAACATAGATTAGATACTCCAGAGAGAGTTTCAACTTTATAATTGGAGAAAGTATTTCACACAGAGGAAAGAGAGTAGCATGTCACATAGTAGCACAGAAGTCAAGAAATTGGCAGCATCTAGATTTCCCTAAACACCAAAGTTCGTTTTTTGAAGACTTTAAAAAGTTCTACAATTGTTTTATCATATAGCATTTTAATATGGTTACAAAATTATAACACTGTCTATCTGAAATCTCACTTGCATGATGCTGTGACCCTCCCAGTTCTGCAAACCACTTCTGTCAAAAAAAAAAAAAAAAAAAAAAAAAAGAGGGAGACTTTTGATGCTTGTTAAAATTAAAAATAAGCTGACACGGATTACATCACCTCCTCAGACCTGTAAAGAAGGTTTTAAAGAAAGCACAGGGAGAAATAATTTTAGAAAAAATAGATACCAATTTACTTTCTATCAAAAACCTAAAGAACAATACCACACCCAACAAAGTAAATCAGCTTGGGAAAACTTCAAGAAAAGTTAAGAAAACAACACACTAAGATATGAGTAAAGGAAATATCTCAATCGTATAATTTTCAGTGTATTGCTGTGTATCACACAATTATATCACTTGCAGCGTAAGTAAACTGTAGCAGGTGCAAAACCCTTTCCAATGAGTATTTAGTCCCTTTCATCTAGGCATGCAAAACAAATAAAATATTTTTATATTTGGTACTGGCTAGTGTCCAGAGCTGAAGAGGCAAGAATTAAGATCTCTTCACTGAAATTGAACATTATGCATTCACAGAAAATAATTTTGTACTGATGCTGAAAAATGCATCGTTAATTTTGGCAGCTGAAAGGAAATCAGCTTTGGGTCATATAGGAGGCCACTTCAAAGTTGATACTAGAGCATCTGTTTCTATCAGTACATGAGTTCATTAAACCAAAGGCACGATTATGAAGAAAAAGGTATTTTTATTACAGCTCACATCATGGTAAAAACCAATCATCAATATATGCCCTGCTCTGCTTGTTACAAATTAGGACTGTCTGCCTTAAAATGAAGTTGATTTATCATCTATTACCATATTTTCATTTTCTTGTTGTGTTCCATGAAAGTGTTGCTTCAGTGCTTTCAACAACTTGTCTGCCTGGAGAGAAATGAAAACAACCTATGAACCAAACACTCACCAAGTCACCAAACAAAAAATGGAACAAACCCAACTGGCATCCTACAGCTTGATCCAACAAACGAGCTGAATGTTTCCCAGATGCCACCGAGCCCCAGGCATGCCTGGACCTTCATCCCAGTCTAAGGAGAACACCTGAAAATCTGACCTACTGGATAACAGAATGTTGGGGGTTGGAAGGGATCTCTAGAGACCATCCAGTCCAACCCCCCTGCCAGAGCAGCCACACAGGAACGCGTCCAGGCTGGGCTTGAAAGTCTCCAGAGCAGGCGACTCCACACCCTCTCTGGGCAGCCTGGGCCA